AATATGTTGCCACATTTTTATAAATAATGTCTTAAATAATAATTTTTTCAATATTTTGATCTAAAATTAATTAAATACTATGAACAATACTATGAAATGTAATGGTTAAATTTTGAATTTAAGTATTGATTAATCAAGGATGCAATCCACTTTATGCTAGAAATGCTTTGAAGCATTCTTTGATTGATCAATTTGTAAAAATTCTTTCTTCTGATTGATCAATGAAACATTTGCAGAGTTAAAATAGATCATATTCCCCCCCCCTCCCCCCCCCCACACACACACACACACAAGTTATAATATAAATAGAAATCCATAAACCACTTTCTTTTCTACTGTTATAATAAATAAACAACAATTCTTATAATTTCTTATGCTTGTAGGAAATGAATATGGTAATGTTTAAGGACAATGATACAAAAATTGATGGTATTTTTGGCCAACTGTGGTACCTTCTTGAGGATTATCTCAATTTTACGTATGTTAAAATGTTACAGTAACTATTTTCTTTATGATATACATTTTGATATAATTGAAAATAAAATTTCTTACATAATGTTTGGAATTTTATACTCTGCATTTGTTTATACTGCAAAAATAAAAATCAGAGCGTAAAATGCAAGAGGAGGATAGCAAAAGCATCAACAAAGCTTTTATAAGACTTTTATAAGGCAAAAATTGAAACAATAAAATATAAAATATAAAATTGAAATAATAAAAGAAGTTTAAACACCTCTTTTATATTTTGTTATTTTAATTTTTGTCTTCTAGAAACTTCATTTACGCTTCTATTCTCCCCTTACATGTGACTTATCCATTAAAATTTTTACTTTGGCTACAAAAGTCAAAGTATTACATTCCTCAGATTTATCCCAATAAAATCAATCGATCGAAATTTTGGTGAGTTGCTGGAAAATGGTAATCATAGTGGTTTGCTTGGCATGCTCGAGCGAAATGAAGCGCAAGTAATCATGAGAAGTACATTCTATTTCTCTCGCATGAACGCAGTGGATTATATAACGCCTGCTTGGAAAAGCACGTGAGCTTATCCATCAAAATATATACATAATAATAAATAATAAATGAGAAATTATTCATCTATGTTCTTGCTTTTAATAAAAATTAGAAACAATTCGAGAATCTTTTCATTTGCAAGATACAGTTGTTATTAATAAATTGATATTTTAGATACTACATTTATGTTCATCCGAAATGGCTATACGATAATACATGGGTATTTACGCTATTTTCATGGCAAACGTGGTTATATATAATATTTTTGTTCATCATTTTAAGTTGCGTTGGTTATTTTCTGCAAAAAGTATCGATGAGCAAATCTAAACACAAAAGAAAAGACTCCGTAGGTTTCAGCCTAGGCGATCATTTTTTCTATTCGTTCACCATAATGAGCGCACGAGGTGCATAATACAATTAAAAAAGAAATTAAGCAAAAGCATTTTTGTGAAAACAAGAATTAGCAATTTGATAGTATTCTATAAAATAGAGTAAAAGAAGATTTTTGGATCGAAATTAAGCATTTAACGATTGAAATTTGGATAAAATAAAGTATCATTTTTTACAGGCTACATACCCAATGCTTTTTATAACAAGTTTAAGATTTTGACATTGTCAAAGACTTTATTTGCGTGGCTAACACTGTTAGCCTTTAGTTCTCATCTCATATATCGGATGACATACAGAGAGCAGATGCTGTCGTTTGAAGATATAGATTCTCTTTTCAATAATACAAAATACTTCTTACTGGTATATCGTGGCAGCTCTTTTGCCTCTTCGTTAAATGTAAATATCAAAGATTTTATATGCATATATGTAAAAAAAAAAAATCTCTTTTCTATTAGAAATATTAATCAGCTATTAAAAAATAATATTTCATCGATTTATGTTTTTGTTGCTAAAACAAAGTTTTTTCCGTAATTTAAAAAAGCAATTTAAAAATAAAGTAAAGAAAAAATCATATTGAAAATACATTATTTTTAATTATCTTATATAATTTAAAACATCTATGACAAATATTGGGAGTACAAATTAGTTCCGTTTCCTAAAGATAGTTCCAGCTGTTGTGAATAGTTCATAATGACAACTGATTTGAGCGGTTTCAGAGAGGTTAAACATCTGCTAATAATATTCAGTTTATATCGCTTTGAGTTTCATACAAAAACCTTGATTTTTACTGTGTTTGAAATGTCGAATTTTGTGTTAACCAAGCAGCATTTGCGGGAGATTTTGATTTTTTGCTTTAATTGGAAGAAAAATGCGGCTGAAGCCCATCGAATGCTTGTCGAAGTTTATGGTGACACTGCTCCAACTGATAAATCATGTATGGAATGGTTTCGACGTTTCAAGGATGGAGATTTCAGCGTTGAAGACAAACCTCTGGACAGCCAAAAAAATTCGAAGACAAAGAATTAGAGGCATTACTCGAAGAAAATCAGAATCAAACGTAAAAGGAGCTTGCAAAATCATTGGAGGTAACTCAACAAGCCGTTTCTGTACGATTGAGAGCCATGGGAATGATTCAAAAACAAGGAAATTGGGTGCTTCATGAACTGAAATCGAGAGATGTTGAAAGGCGATTTTTCACTTGAAAACAGCTGATTCCAAGACAACAGAGAAAAAATTTTTTGCATCAGATTGTGACTGGAGATGAGAAATGGATATTCTATGACAATCCTAAGAAGAAAAAATACTACGCTAAGCCCGGTCAATCGTTGCCATCGACCTCAACACCACGGCCGAACATTCATGGTTCGAAGATCATGCTCTGTATCTGGTGGGATCAAAAGGATCTTGTTTATTATGAGCTGCTGAAACCTGGCGATTCCATTATGGGCGATCGATATCGGCTATAATCGATTCGTTTGAGCCGCATTACGAGAAAAACGGCCGGAATACGAGTAAAGACATGATAAAGTTATTCTTCTTCATGACAACGCTCGGTCTCATGTCGCTAAAGTCGTAAAAAAATATTTGAAAACGCTCAAATGGGATGTTTTATCACACCCAGCGTATTCTCCGGACATTGCTCCTTCTGATTACTGGTTGTTCCGAAGGATGCAGCACGATTTGGCAAGTCACCGGTTCACTTCTTTCGCAGAAATCGAAAATTGGCTCCAAAATTGGATCGCCTCCAAAAACATCATTTTTTCGAGATGGAATTCGAAAATTGCCTGAGAGATGGGAAAAAGTAGTAGACAGCAATGGACAATACTTTAATTGATCTGTTCATCCATTTTGTTTTGAAATAAATGCACAAAAAAACGGATCGAATTAATTTGTACTCCCAATAATACAAACACATTTAAGTATAATAAATTTACAACTTATTATTTTTAGTTTACGTATAGAAACTTGGTTGGCGAAAATCCATCTGCGCGTATGAATTTTATAGATATTGCAGAAGACATGTATAGTATTATTTGTTCTAACTTGACGAGATATGCGATATTTGATGGCGATGATCGATTTATGGCATTAAGCAGAAAGTGCCAGCTTCGAGCTACGAGTAAAGCCAACACGACCTGGATAACAATTGCATTTCAGAAAAATTATCGTTACAAAAAGAACTTCGAATATGCGTGAATATTGCATAAATTATACTTATTATTATTTAAAAAACTATTACTAATTAGCTTAAAGATTACTTAACGATCTCTCCTTTCCAGAATTACCAAATTCAGAGAAGTTGGACTGCTTGATGATCTTAAAAATACTTGGTTTAATGCCAAACTGGAAGAAATAGACCAAGAAATATTCAACCCGATTGATTTTCATCAAGTCTATTTCATTTTTTTAATGTTATATTACGGGATTCTAATATCATTTGTGATACTCATTTTGGAAAATATAACATACTATTACAAAATAAAGAATATACGACAATTTAGATGCAGATAAGTACATTTTGAAAATATTTAAAAAAAGATATGATTAAAATTTAAATCTTATAACTTTTTAAATATTGTAATAACTTTTTCAGCAAATTTTCTTATGTCTCTTGAGGATTTATTCTATTTTTTTATTTACATTTATAATATATATTAGGTGGTTCCATAAGTCCCTAGGATCAAATTTAGATAAAACACAAAACATGTAGATACTCTCATTTTTTTATAACATTATCTAATTTAAAGCTTATAACTGTTAACATAAACTTATATTTTTAATTTTATTCGAAATGAAAATCGAAAAAAGTATATATATTTGGTACTGTATATACTTCATTACTTTTATTAAAATTATTTGGAAAGATTTATTGTAAGAGCATTTATTGTGAGAGCACCATAAGTTTCACAAATAATTTTAGCAGTTTCGGCGGCGTTATAGCAATTAAAGTAATGACTCAGTAAACACAATATGTTATAGTTATATTGTTGAGCATTTCATGTTACATGTACGTTACATATACATTACATGTAGTAAACATGCATTATGTTTGGTGGAAAAATGCAGTATGTTTTCTTTGTCATCTTTATCACAAATTAAAAATATGTTTATGTTAATGATTATGAGTTATATTGTGTGTGTGTGTGTGTGTGTGTGTGTGTGTGTAAGTTGGATAACATTATAAAATAATGAGGCAAAAGATTTTAAATTTATATTTAAACTTGATTTTAGCAACTTATGGAACCATCTAATAATTTTTTATATTTGTCAATGTCTAACAATAAAAATGTAAAGGAAAGATAGTATGCTATAACTTCTCCATTTACATTTTATACAATAACTCTATCAATAATATTCATCATTAATACTCAGCACAGAAAAATTGCTGAAACATCGTAGAAATATTTCATTGAAAGATTGCGACATTGCAAAATCGTTGTGAAATGTTGCTGCAACGTTGCTGTAATATTAACATATTAGCAACGTTAAACATGTCTGTTCTCAAAAATTGATTTTTCAGCCCTGACAATATATATAGTTGGTTCTGAAAATGACTATAATAATATTATAGTTATTTATAATAATATTACAGTCACTTTCGGGACCAACTATTTTTTATATAGAACAATAAATATAATTACTATTATTAACATTAGCAATAACAACTATAAAAATAGAGTTCTTAACTATTATTTTATCATGCAATTATCACTATAATACCGAACACTTGCAATAAATTATGTATGCATCAGTATATAATTCATGAAAATAAAATAATTAACATTAGTAGGTTAACATTAATATAAGTGCAATTACAGATTACAATTCATAATATAATAATATAATACAAATAATATAAACACAATACAAATAATATAAATACAAATAATTTAAATAATATAAATAATACATAATAGAATATAAATAATTAATAAAGCAATGAGAAAATTACTTTTTTTTCACAATATTGGATAATATCTGAAGACAATATCTGAATTAATTAAAACATAACAATTTTTAATCAATCTATTAATTAAAAATTTTTCTTATCGTAAAATCATTAAGTTCTAATTGTTAAAAAAATCAATTATTAAAAAACTAACCTTTTTCCATCAGGCCATATTTACCCATAATAATATTAGTGTTGTAACAAAAATTTTAGGAAAAAAAATTTTTAATTAATAGATTGATTAAAAATTGTTATGTTTTAATTAATTCAGATATTGTCTTCAGATATTATCCAATATTGTGAAAAAAAAGTAATTTTCTCATTGCTTTATTAATTATTTATATTCTATTATGTATTATTTATATTATTTAAATTATTTGTATTTATATTATTTGTATTGTGTTTATATTATTTGTATTATATTATTATATTATGAATTGTAATCTGTAATTGC